GGCTGGCATGTGGTGCTGGGGGATTGAACTGTGGTCCCTGTGCTTTGCTAAGCTTGTTCTAAGTAGGTGCTTTAGACCACTGAGCCATCTCACCAGCCCTCAAAAATAAATTTAAAAAAAACAAAGCCTGAAATTTAGAGACTATAAATAAGAATGGGTCTTTTACAGGAGGAGCACTACTATGGACTCACATTTCAAAAAACTGTTGCTGGGGCCGGGGAGATGGCTCAGTGGAATAAGTGCTTCCATGGCAAGCGCAAGGGCCTGAGTTCAATCCCCGGTTCTGCCAAACAAAAACAAAAACAAAAGAAAACCTGTTGCCTTCATGGCCCCTGAATAGCATCACGGTCTAGCATATGAAAACATACGCAAGCCCCTCCATCCTGCACTCTGTAGAGCAGACCAGAGCTACATGGCCTTCAGCGATGCTGACATGACTCTCACCCCACAGGAAGACAAGGACCCCCCTCTAGGACGTAAGAGACACAGCAGGTCCTTACGGCTCTGGGATACAATGACGTTTCCATTATGAGCAAGGGAATTATACCAAGAACCTATTATCTAACCAGTGATTGAAATTTAATGATTTTCACTGAAAATCTGTCCTTGTGAAGATTCTTCAGACACACCTAGTTTGTCTTCCAAACTATGACTCTGGATGTTATTTTATGCTTGACAAGATTTTCTTATAGGGTTTCAGAGAATTATAAAAGGGAGAAAAAACTTTTAGTTCTCATTTTCAACAAAGCTCTCTGGAACCCATGAATAAAACCAATTCCTTCGGTATTATTTCACAAAGACCAAAATCTACAAATAACAAATGCTGACTATAAACTTTTTATGGACTGACATTTTTTCAAAGACCACAGAAATGTTTTCTCTAGGAGTTCAGTCAGATGGGGACTTGTACACAGCAACAATTTTGTGGCTATCATAGTCAGGAGGCTAATGAGGAGGGCAATGGTGTCACTCTGTGTCTCTCAGGGTCCTCAGCATGCATCCTATCCACGGATCAAGCTCAGCTTTCTTCACACTGGGGACTGTTGTTTTGTGGTGCCATCCCCTCGCTGTATGGCTGTACTTTTTAAAGAGCGAAAACCTTAATATGGAAGAACTGTGAATCTATGGTGTTTTAAAACAGCACTAAATTATTTGATTTGGAAATATATTGAATATTAAAGAAATACTACATTAAATATTATACTAAAGCCTAAAATACACAAAATCTGTGACCTGGAATTAGCCTACTGACCCATATATTTAAACACTGTGGGGGCTGGGGAGATAGCTCAGTAGAATAAGCACTTCCCTGGCAAGTGCAAGGGCCTGAGTTCAATCTCCGGGTCCACACATTAAATAAAAAAACAAAAAACAAAAAACAAAAAACAACCCACTGTGGAATCTCTGTTGTGCTAACAAGTGGGCAAAGAGAATACAAAATACAAAAAATATATTGAAAATTAAAAATATAAGGGCTGGAGAGATGGCTCAGTGGTCTAAAGCACCTACTTGAAACAAGCTTGGCAAAGCACAGGGACTGCGGTTCGATCCCCCAGCACCACATGCCAGCCAGCCCCCGCCCCCTGGTGGGCTGAGCTGGCCACACACACACACAATAAATAATAAATGTAATAAATAAAAATGAATGAATAATTAAAAAAAAAAAAGAAAATTAAAAATATAAAAAAGTTGGGTATGGTGGTAGCACACTCCTATAATCCCAGCATTCTGAGAGGCTGAGGCAGGAGGAGTGGAAGCTTAAGCCCACCCTTGGCATCTTATAGTGACCTAGTGAGACCCTGTCTCCAAATGAAAGGAAAGAAAGGAAAAAAGGAAGGAATGAAGGAAGGACAGGTGGGCCAGTGATATAATTGTGTGAAGGCTCAATCCCTAGTATCACAGAAAAGTCTTGAGTTTTTAAAAAGGAAGCTGTGAATTAAAGCAACAGGTCAACAGCAAGGAGAGAGTGTGAATGTCTGAGCAGGACACAACAGGTTGGGGCACAGTGACACTGAGTAGGAGGCACCTGCACGCTGACTTCCCTGGCTGTCCTTGCCAGGCCCAGCACCATGAGAGCCCAGTGTCATCACAGGGTTGTGTCCCTTTACCTGGCAGAGCAGCCCCTAGTCTACATCCTGCTATGACAATGTGAATTTTTTTTTTTTTTGGGGGGGGGAACCGAGGATTAAACTCAGGCCCTTGCGCTTGCCAGGCAAGCACTTACTCTATTGAGCTATCTCCCCAGCCCCTGAAATTTTTGAAAAGTTTTCTAAAAAATCAAAATCAGAACTCTTTTAAAGGAACCAAGATTTCTCTCCAAAAAATTTCAGAGAAAAACAAATATAAAGCAAAGTAAGATCTTAACTTATATATCATAAGGACACTAATTCTAGCTAAAGATTAGTGAGTCTACTTCTCCTGACAAACAACAAACTTGAGGACCAAACTCAATTTCTACTTTTATCAAGACAGAAAGGAATGTGTTTAGGGTTTCTCCATCTGGATTGAAGGTGAAAATGTCCCAGAGGAAAGAGGAGAAAGTGCTCGAGAGGTGGTGGGCACACAGGAAACTCAGCCAATTGCACTGTAGCACTGAACTAGCTTGATCCAGGGCTGCCAGCTGATAGGTCACTGTTATCCTTAGCCCCACCCTAAACTACTCACTGCAGCCCTTGCTGGAAGATCAAGCCCTCCCTATCTCCCTTGACTTCTGGAAAGAACCTTCTTCCTCCTCCTCTTCTTGTCTTCTTGCCATGGCAGGAATGTTACACATCTTCTCACCATCAACTAGGTCTCTGACTCTGACCATCCAAGCCTTTTTCTTAACCTCCATTCAATTCTTTCTATATTTACTAGTTTATTTATCTGAACGTTTTCTAGCTATCCATTAAACTCCTTCTAGGCCACCATGGGTGGCAAACATATGGCAGGTGTGTTATTGTGCTTTTAAGACATATAATTAATGTAAATATAATTAATATAAATAAGTCTTTTTTCTAAACTAAAAACACCGCTATTCATGTTTAATTGTAGTGTTGGTACTTTGCAATACGTAAGTGGGTTTTGGGTTACAGTTTGGGCATTTGGTCTCTAAAAGGTTCACCATACAACTCTGAAGATAAACTTCTTTAAACACATGTATTCTAAGACACAGCTGAATCCTTGAGCATTTTCACACCAGATTCCACACCAGCTAGTGATGAAAGCCAAAACATAACGACAGTGTCACAGCACAGAAACAGGTCCTTTGTGACTTCTGAGGGTACAGTAGAGGTGGTCGAAATAAGACATTTTAAAAACAAGAAAAGGGAGAGGGTAAAAATCATTAACAATTCAACAGAAAGCTTGGCACCTTCCTTCAGAAACATTTTTTAGCTCAGTGGCTTCTCCACATGATGTTTACCCACTGCATAGGAAATGACACAGCAGGTCTGCATAACTTGTTTACACAATTTGTATTACATCTTTATTTTCATTTTTGGTTATGGGATCATTTCTGCTTCTTCATATTTTTCACATTTTTAAAAATGTACACATTTATTTTATAGCAGAAAATAAGACTGCTAGAATTCAAGGTATAAACATAAAAGCTCTTGGTAGAAAATTTTAGCAAACATTCAGGTTCAGGCATCTTCCATAAACACACAGGTTCTGTTCTGGGTCTCTCTTTATTGCTGTATTAACTTGTGCACCCTGCTACAAAGCTGTCTTGTTCTTTGCAGGAGGACAACCCGTCACATCTTTTTATTCGTTATTCCACGCTCAGCATCACACTTACTCACCTGTGACTTGCTTGTCTGGAAGAGAAGGGATTGGAATGGCTGACCCAAACTTTACCAGGAGACGCTCATACAACCAGTCAAAGTGCTTATACCTGTGGTTTACAGATCGATTAGTGTTCTAGAAAATAAAAGAAGATGAAAAGTTACCAGTGCCAAATACAGAAAGTGAAGAAAAACATGCAAGTTCTAATTGGCAATGCCTGAATGCTACTGTAGGTCTTGCTAACACGGGTACTTACAGTAGGTGTTAACTGGTATTCAATGTAGCTCTTCAGGCCATACATTTTGGAACCTTTCCTGGGATCTGCTACCACACAGTCAAAAGTTGAGGTAGGATAAACCCACATTGGGCCATAATCTCCAACCTACACAATGTTTTAAGAAAAGTTAATTTTGTAACAGGGAAACAGCATAAATATAATTAACATAAATCAACAAATGGTTCTTGTTAGAACTAAAAGTCCTTTGGAGGGTCATTCTTGTTCCTAGTTGAGAAGATAGTAACCAATCCTTGTTCTCATCAGAATTCACAGTTAAGGAGGAACGTATTTATTGGGATGAACCCTTCTGTTCTCATGTGGGCAGCTCAGTTCATGAAGAGTATCAAGAACTGATCAGGCTTCTGATTTCCTAAGATGAGTGTACAGAGTAGGCTTAAATAAGAGACAAGTAATGTGAAGTTTGGGGGTACTCCAGGAAGGTCAGAACTCTCTTGGATCTAAGATAAAGACTTCACTGGACTGAAGTATTTATTGGATTTTCAACAAAGTTGGGGCTTGCAGGGAAACGAAAGGAATAGTTGAAATAAAGGTGGAAAACTGAGCAAGACCTTAAGAAGTTGGAACAAAGACATTCTAGGCAGTATATCTTGCTAGTTAAGAGACTGTCTTAGTTCTAAAGTTGGCAGTTATTGCCCTGGAATTGGAGAGCCAAATGTCCTCAGCTGCAGTATTACCTTGTCCTCAGAGATGTCACAGTGTCACTGTTGAGTACAGGTTCTACTGTGGCCACAGATATAGTTACATTTTCTACATGCCAGTCACCGGGTCTTTGGGCAAGTGACCAAGGTCTGGGACAGACTCATAAGTAAATACAGAAGTCAAACAATTCTAGAGCCTGCTCAGTGCTGCTTCACAGTGGTCTCCATCAAAAAGGAGAAACTGGTTTCCTGTCTAGCAGAGTGTTAGAAGACAGGGTCTCTCCTCTCTTTAGACCACCTGTCTGAAGCTGTATGTGATAAATCTATCGTACACTGATGGTTCTGTGAAATAAAATTCTACACATTTGGGCTTTTCAACAATGTCAAGTTACCATGAAATTTTCTCAACACTCTCCTTTTTGTATTTTTGCAGGGCAAAGAGGTAGCTAGCAGTTTCCAAATAGATACCTGGTTTGTGACAACACTTTGAATAGCACAGTTTTAGCCACAGAAATGGCTAATTGGGTTGGCCAGTGCCTGCTATACACTGTTTTACTACTGTTAGCAAGTTTGGTCTCCTTAAAAGTGAGACCCATGTTAACTTTTTTCTGGGACTCCTTGGAGAGAAGTACAGTAGGATGGCTCACTTCCTGTCCCTCGGATTATGCCTGACAGACATGGCTTCTCCAAAGACAGCAGGTTCCATTCTTTTGCCACTGTTCTTTTCTGCCTGTGAGTAGGGGCAAAGGTTTAGGAATTCAGGAGAGGCTTATGCACTAGAGCACTGCAGTCTTACCTAGGGGTAGGAGGAAGGAAAACTAGTTGAGTTCTATGTGGGGGTACAGAGAACTGACCTGTGAATTTTAAGCCTATGGATCATTTCTGCCAGCACTGCTAAGTGACAACGGATCTGCTTTTCCAAATATGGCTATTTTTATGTTGTTTAAAACGGTATCCAAGGCCAAAGGTGGCTGCAGAGAACCTTGACTTCTGAGGCTCACACACAGGCTCCTTGGATCATTCTCTGTATTATCAATAGTACGGTGTTAAGTTTTAGCTAGCTAGCTAGCTAGCTATTTACTTATTTATTTATTTAGTACTGGGATTGAACTCAGGGCCTTGGGCTTGCCAGGCAGGTGCATATGCTGCTCAGCTATCTCCTAGGTGAGCCATTCAGTTTACAATGAACAGAAATGATAATATATTTCAGAGGTCCAGATTGCACAACAGTGGGTTGTACCAAAGAACATTATGAAGAGTAACAGAGCATTTATTATTCTGAGAATATGTTATCTTCTTGAACTGGAATAGAAAAATAACTGGGGGCCAGGGAGATAGCTCAGTAGTGTTTGCCTGGCAAGCTTAAGGTCCTGAGTTCAATCCCCAGTACCGCAAAAAAAACCCCCAAAAAACAAAAAAAAAACAAAAAAACATGTGGTTGGGCCGGGGAGATAGCTTAGCGGTATAAGGGCCTGCCTGGTAAGTACAAGGTCCTGAGTTTGATCCCTGGTACCATAAATAAATAAATAACACTGGAACTAATAAAATTCTGGTTTTTGCTGGGGAGATAGCTCAGCAGAATAAGCGCTTGCCTGGCAAGCGCAAGGTCCTAAGTTCAATCTCTAGTACTGTAAAACAAACAAAAAAATAACCACTGAACTCTGTTTTGGGGCCGGGGAGATGGCTCAGTGGAATAAGTGCTTCCCTGGTAAGTGCAAGAGCCTGAGTTCAATCCCTGGTTCTGCCAAAAAGAAAAAGAAAAAGAACTGAATTACGTATCTTGGAATAATATGAGGGAAAAAACCCCTAACAGGTAGTCTGTAAATGAAACACTATTTCTAGGGAAGACATCCATTCACAGATTCAAAGAGGAATGAAAATAGTTTATAAATCACACTTGAATCTTAGACAAAGTGTCTAAGAAAATGACAAGAAAGGCAATGTAGGTCAGGCTGAGGAAAGACAGCTTCCTTCAGACTGAGATATCTGAGGAAGGCCAGCAGCCATAAAGGTGAAAAGGGCACATAGTCCTCATGCCACCTCAAGGTGGACAAGGAGAAAGCAGGGCACATTTGATAAAACACAGGTCCTTTGGTCAAGGTCAAGAAGGTGACTAAATATTGAGAGGTTTAATATGGGACAAAGGAGAAGATCTCTGAGAACAAATGGCTGTTGTAGTTGGAGGGGGTCAGGACCCAGAAAGCTCTACTAAAGCTACAGAGCAGGAACACAGGGCCATTTTCCTTAGTGACTGGACCTGAGGTGCAACTCTGGTTGGTAAGGCATTCATGCCCATGGGCCATATTTCACTAGTGGGTAGGGTTACTGTGCCTTCTACTGCTTTCCTTTGGCTTCCTTCAGCTTCCTTTCCCATGGAGCAGGCCTGTCTACTGGTTTCATGGCCCATATCTCTCTAAAGCTCCTGAGACAAGCCAAGAGTAGACCTTATGTTATGTTCTACCACTATCATGCCCATGACAAAGTTTACTTATTTATTTTGTATTTAGAACAGGGTCTAAAGGGTCTCACTACACAGATTGGCCTCATAGTGATTCTCCTGTTTTTCTGCCTCCTAAGCACTGGGATTACACCACACCCAGTCTCAATGGCCATCTCAGTGCACCCCCAGGGGCGGGGAAGGCTGGCATGGCAGGCTGGGGATTGAACCCCTGGCCCCTGCATCTGCCTAAGTCAGCGCTTTAATCTGCTGAGCTATCTGGCTGGCCCTCAAAGTTTATGTTTAGAATGTCAGGGCAGGATCATGATTTCTGAATTCTGTGGAGTTTTACATTTAATGAAAACGATACATATGTAATTCTTTAAAAGCCTGGCACAAACAGAAAAAAAAAAAAAATTAACTGAACTACTCAGAAGATAATTACCCCAAATTTGCTTTGAGGAATGAGGATAAAAGGGGCTCTTGTTACAGTTACTTTGTCTGGAGGTTTCTAGATTTTCATACTTTTCAAAGATGTGGAAACAGTAAGAATATACCATTTCTGCAATTTCATCAATACAGAACCTGACTAGTGTTCCTCACCCTTGTCTGTGCCCACAGTGACTACCTTCAAACCTTTCCTTAACTAATAGTTACAGGGTTAAGTCAGCAAGATCAAAAAATAAGCAAGTTTTTTTCCCAGAATTATGTTTGGAAATAGATATTGTCTAGGTAGAAAACGCATCAGCAATCAAAATATTGGATAAAGAGTCAGTGTCATATAATACTCATTTCTTTTTTTCTTTTTTTGGTAGAACCGGGGATTGAACTCAGGCCCTGCGCTTGCCAGGGAAGTGCTTATTCCACTGAGCCATCTCCCCAGCCCCAATACTCATTTCTTTATGATGGATTAAATTCTTATCATACCCTTCTGCTTTTATATGCTAGTTCCTTTACTTGACCTAACAGATGGTCTGCTGCAAGACACACTAGTACCAGCATAAGGAGCTTTCTTCAGATAATATGCTTCTACCTTGCCAGGACAGAAACTTAAATTACCTGAATTAAGCTTATTAGTTAAGTGTATAGATCTGGTTAAAAGGGACATAAAATATACTTTAAAATATTTTAGAAAATTATTATAAGAATATGTGTTTGAAATACACATATATCTTGAATGCAGTTTGAATAAGACTACCTAAACAATAACAGACATTTACACTAATTATCTTCAGTACTCCTAAAATATTAACATATCATCAGTCATTTAGGATGGTAAATTCAAAAGACTGATAATCTTTTTAGCTTTGAAGAATGACAAAAGACCTTAGAAACAAAGCAAACAAAAATGAAAAACTTACAATGATGGAAATTTTCTCTTTGGGTTTTGCTAGCTGCTTGGACAACAAATACTGTTCCATTCCAGGTTTTGCAAATCCAGGAAATCTAATCATGAAGATAAATGCCTGTTAGTCTTACGTCTTTCCTCATAAGAATTCCACAATTCTTACCACGTTACTGTAAAGACACTGGTTTTAACCTTGTTCAGTCTCTGAGATATACCAGAACTGGAAACTGCGGTAAATGAAACTCAGTGTAATCAGATTGTTCAATGGCCAGTAACTCACTCGCTTAAGCAGTTTGACTCTGGTAAGTGTGCTCTTTATGGGTACCCCACTTACTTAACTGGATCTGCAACACTCCATCACAAACGTGCAGACTTGCAAAGCCTAGCTGCCCTAGTACCCAGCAAGCCAACTTTGCCGGTCACCTGAGGCAGCAGTCACATGCCGGCACACCTACAGCTGCACTACAGGTGTCTGCCAGTACCCTCCAGGAGGCCGCAGGTATCCCAAAGGCACTGCCACTGTTCCCAAGCAGTTGCGTTTCATTTTAGAACTGCTTTCAAAGCCGATTTGTGAGACATGCCAGGAAGGAAGTCTTCTTAATAAACAGATTCAAAGTATAACAGATACAGTCGGTTACTTCTGGGAATCAAATCCACATCCAAAGAAAGTTTCTAAAATTAGAGAATAACTAGAATACCATCCAAAGTGCTACTTTTTAGGCTTGGGGTATGGTTCAGGTAGAGTACTTGCCCATATGTTTGAGGCCACAGGTTCAATCTCTAAAAAAACAAAAACGAAGTGCTACTTTTGAAAAAAAAAAAAAAAAAAAAAAGATTACTTTGGGCTTGCTTTATTTATTTTGCGGTACCAGGGATTGAACTCAGGATCTTGCGCTTGCCAGGCATACTTTGGGCTTTAGAATTTTCTTTTAATAAATACAAAAAAAATCAGAAAGCAAAATACCTAAAATAGGAAATGCCCAGCTAACCTATTTTCATTCCCACACTGAGCCAAAGGCTAGTGTGACACTCTTATGGCCGAATCCCTTTTTCTTTCATTCCTAAGTGTCTTCTACCCCATAGTCCCTCTCCCTGGACACTCTAACACAGTGGATACAGGACAGAACAAAGAGGAGCCTCAGACTTGGCTAGGTCTGGGTTTGAACTCCAACTATGTACTTGGCTGCTTTAGCAGCCTGAGTCTCCTTGTATAAAGAAAAGGACCAAGATGACCCACTTCCTACGGTTCCTAAAAAGAGCCCAGAAGTACATGTCCTCACTGCAGCCTCAGACAGGGCTTTCTCTGTGCTTCTCCAGCATGTTGGACAGTGGTGCTCTACATTTATCATGACACATTGTCTCTGTTCTTTCACACATTACAACAGAGGGACCTCAGAGAAAATGTTTGTGTTGCTAGGACCTGGAGGCATTCTGAGAACAGGCTAAATGCTTAAAGAATTAACAGGTTAGCCAAGAATCCTTTCACCTAAGAATCTCTGCTTTTGTGGGGATCTCATACAGTGTAACTAAATCAGAGCTAAATGCAGAGAAAATGGCAAACTTTTTGCAAGACTCTGTTAATGACTATACACAAAGAACAACAGCGTAATTTACTAATTAAGTGAAAGTTATTGAGATGGTTTCTCACAATGCTCAAGCATAAATTTTTTATCTACTTTTAAGTTTATATTTTATGACTAACATATTTTATATAAAACTGCTAACGTGTTAATACTTTAAAAAAATTTACAATTATTCTAAGTTTATATGATCGTTTGTCTATTAGTTTAACTAAAAGAAGATTTTAAGTTGTTCCCAGCACCCAGACAGACAAATGTCTTAGGGGTACAGGTTCAAATCAGGGCTGCTCTAACTTGATTTCAACCTGGAAGGACATGTTAGAATAGAATGAACCCTTAATTCATTTAGAAATGAGGAAACTGAAGATTGAAGAGGGCATCAAAGGCACAGAGCACATCAGAGAGAGTGCAGAATGGAGTAAGAAACCAAAGTCAGAGCCAAACACACTGGCTGCATAACCATGGCCATTCAGTCTTCTGGAGTCTGTGTTTTTAAAATGAGGGCCAAGAGGCCATTTTAAATAAGTTTAAAATACAATTTTTATTAAGGCTTGAAGCGCAAGTAAGAGGAACACACATCACTCAAATTTGCATACCAATTTGAGTCTAAGAAGATTCAGGGGCTGGGGAGATGGCTCAGTAGAATAAGCGCTTGCCTGGCAAGTGCAAGGGTCTGAGTTCAATCCCCAGTTCCTCCAAAAAAAAAAAAAAAAGGAGATTCAGTCACTAATGGATGGTGTATGCCACTAACTGACCATGACAATACATAATGGAAGAAACTGGGGTAGCAGTTAAAAGAAGTGTGCAGTCAAAAAAGAGCTTATTTAGTACTTCATGTAATTTACAGACAATGGAGACCCTGCAGGCCCCATTCTGCTAGAGCAAGACCTTAATCCTACTATCTAGACACATGCAAAACACCATGCTTTCAACTGATTCCAGACATACTGCAAATTTCTTTGATACACACTTTGAATCATAAACTTCAATTATTGAAAAAAAGGAACAGTATTAGACCCGGGATTGAACTCAGGCCCTTGCACTTACCAGGCAAGAGATTATTCTACTGAGCCATCTTCCTGTCCTCACAGAATAGTAATTTTAAAAAATAAACTATTTTAGATCTTTTTTTGGTGGAACCAGGGATTGAACTCAGGCCCTTGCATTTGCCAGGGAAGCACTTATTCCACTGAGCCATCTCCCTGGCCCCATAAAGCTTGTTAGATCTTTTTTTTTTTTTTTTTTTTTGAAATAAACTATTTTAAACAAAGCTGCTAGAGGAGTACTGGAAGATTCTTAGGGATATCAAACACTAGACTTTTTTCTTTCAAATCTATTTATTTATTTGTTATAGGGTCTTGCTATGCCACTCAGACTTGTAGTGATCCTCCTGTCTCAGCCTCCCCAGCACTGGTATTATAGGCATGTGCCACCAAGTCTGGTTTTGGTGACCAGCTTGGCATGTCCGGGGTTTCAGGGCCAGCACAGCATATGGTACCAGAGACTGAACTTGGGTCCTTGTGCTTGCCAGGCAGGCGCTTAGAATGCCAAGCTATCTCCCCAGCCTAGACCTTTTGCAAGCTACACTGGTATAAAGTAGATTTATCCAGAACTCTCACCAAATGTCCTACAACGTTATACCATATTCTGTCTTTCCCATGTTTTCCTATTAAGCATTAGATTTAGGCTAGAGTCTAAGCGCCTTCCTGACAAGCACAAGGACCTGGGTTGGATTCCCGGAACCCTGGGTGCGCTGTGCCGGCCCTGAAACTTGGTGTGGTGGTGCACATCTGTAATTCCAGCACTAGGGAGGCTCAGATGGTAGGGACACTATTACTCTGAACTGCATAGTAAGACTCTGTACCAGACAAATAAATAAGCAAATGAAGTACTTTTTAAAAATGTAAAATATCCAATGTATAAAAAAAAAAAAAATAAATAAATCACTAAATTTACAGGGGCTATAAAATTTTTTTTTCTTAATCTAAGAGAAACACAAGTGAAAAGATAGACCTAAGCAGCTCGTCACGTATAGTTGCTCAGAGCACGCACCTCGGTTACTAAGGCCTAAGCGCCCTGACACAGGCCCCCTGTGTGAGCTTGGACGCATTCTCCTTGCGCTTTAGTTTTCCCCAAAGTAGAACAGGGATTATATGTAGCACAGAGACATTAAAATACACACAATTTAATTTGCTCAGGGCCCAATACATGTGGTTAATAAAATAGTGAAACAATTGCGGCCGGGGAGATGGCTCAGTGGAATAAGCGCTTCCCTGGCAAGCTCAAGGATCTGAGTTCGATCCCCGGTTCCAGCAAAAAAAAAAAAAAAAAAAAAAACACAAAACCAAACCTTTGGGGCTGGTGGGATGGCTCGGTGGTCTGGAGCACCTACTTGGAGCGGGCTTGGCAGGGCACAGGGACCACGGTTCAATCCCCCAGTGCCACATGCCAGCCCGCCCCGCCCCCTGGTGGGCTGAGCTGGACACACAGACACAGACACACACACAAATAAATAAATAAATAAATTAATTAAAAATAAAATAAAATAGTGAAACAGTCACCAATGAGTTGTTATTAACATCATTTTTAGCTTACTATATAAATTATATTTTAGTAATTACTTTTAGTAATGAGCCTTAAAAGTTGATAAAAGTAAAAATAATAAAAGCTATTTGGCAGGTAATTTAATACAATAAATGTTTCACTATTAATTCTGTAAAATAAAATAAATCAGCTTTCAAGCTAAGATCCAAATTAAAATGGCTAAAATTTACCCAAAATTCAGTAGGTCACTGAATAAAGAAAAAGTCAACTGCTTCTTTGTATTTTTTATATATTCCTACAAAGACGGTGCCTTCTATTTCCATTTATACGTACTTGTTAAGTGGCAGCTTCATCGAGGAGGATCCTGGGCGACTGTTCCCCCGCTGAATACCTCCTGCTTCAGCTGCTTCTGGATCCTTAAAGTACGGAGAGGACTTGGGGTCATCCCAGTCTTCATCCCATTCATCATCGTCACCAGTTGCTAAAGGTGGGGACAGCAGATTATCAGTATAAAAAAATACAAAAGGAATTAAATTTTTAAATTTCTGATAACTACTGAAATGAGCTAATCAAGTCTTTAAAGGGACAAAAAAGGACTTAAAATAGAAATATTGGAGCTGGGGAGATAGCTCAGTAGAATAGGCGCTTACCTGGCAAGCGCAAGACCTGAGTTCAATCCCCGGTTCCGGAAAAGAAAAAAAAAAAAAAAAAAGAAATATCACATGGATGTTACAAAAGCAGGCTTTGTAGCCAGACCATCTTACACCTGAAGGTTGCATATTACAAAAGACAAAAAACAACTTAAACAGGATGGTCAGGTCAACTGATGTTAACAAGAGAACCAAGAAGATACAATGGAGAAAGGACCATTTCATCTGTACATGGCATTGGAAAACTGTATTATCCATGTTCAGAAGAATGAAATTGAACCCTGATCTTACACCATGTACAAAAACAAAATGAATTAAACATCTAAATATAAGACCAGATAGGATAAAATTCCTAGAGGACAGCATAAGGGAAAAAATTCCTATCACACCAGAAGCTAACATAATGAAAGCAAAAATAATGTGTGAATACATCAAACTAAAAAGCTTCTGTACAGCAAAGAAAAACAATAAATGAATCAGTTGTGAACTGGGAGAATGCATTTGCAAACTATGTATCTGATAAGGCATTAACATCCAAATTATATAAGGAACTCACACAGTTCAACAGCAAATAAATATGGTAGACTTCCTTACCCAGAGTTTCATTTGCTACAGTTTTAGTTCTATGTGGTTAACCATGGTCTAAAATGCTAAACAAAAAATTTCAAAAATTACCAATTCTACATTGCTCTATTTTGAGCGTCATGGTGAAATCACGTGCCTTCCTGCTCTGTTTGTTCACAAAGAAGAATCACTCCTTTGTTTCGCAGTACACACTAGCCATCCATTAGCCAGCAGCCACCTGGGCGATTGATCAGACGGACTATTGCAGCATCATGGCGCTTGTGTTCAAGTAACCCTCAGTTTACTTATTAACGGCGTCAAGGCAGAAGAGTAGAGAAGATGGCAACTCAAATATGCCAAGAGAAATAGTACAGTGCTTTCTTTAGGTAAAAAAATGAAAATTCTTGATTTAATAGAAGGTTTCTAAGATGTATGGTAAGAACAAATTTATGGAACAATGAAAAGGAAAAGGTTAGCCATGCATGCTAGTTTTGTTGTTATACTTCACATTATAAATGTTTTATAAGTGCTTCCTTAAGATTAGACAACAGGTATATGAAAAGGTGTTCACTCTAAGTAATCATCAGAGAAACAAAATTCAAAAGCACTATGAGGTGTCACCCTCTACCTAGCACAACAGTTATAATCAAAAAAGTCCAGGGGCTGGGGAGATAGCTCAGTAGAATAAGTGCTTGTCTGGCAAGTACAAGGTCCTGAGGGGAATGTAAATCGGTTGGTACAGCTATTAGAGCAAAGAGAATGGAGGTTTCTCAAAACATAATAAACAGAACTACCTTATGTCTTAGTAATCACTCTTCTAGATATATAACTTTAAAAAAAAATGAAATCACCTCATAAGATAATTTTCGCCTCATAGAGATAATGTTCAGTGCAGCACTATCTGCAAAAATAGGCTATAGAATCAACCTACATATTCATCAACAGATGAACAGATAAATTGTAGCATAGATATAAAGGAAAATATTATTTAGCCTTCATAAAAGTATAGTGCCCTTTGTGATAACATAGGTGAATCTAGAAGACATTATATTGAGTGCAAAAAGCAAGACATAGAAGGACAATGCTGTGTGACTTCACTTTTATGTGGAATCTTTAAAAAGCTGAGCATACAGAAGCAGAGAATGGTGGTTACTGGGTGGGGAGGTGTAGGTCAAAGGGTACAAAGTTGCCCTTATGAAAGAGTAAGTCAAGAGATTTTATGAGAACTATGAAGACTGTCACTAATGACACTGTAGAGATTTTTCGGTGCTCTAACCACCACACACACATAAAAGTAGACATGTGAGGTGATGGATATGTCAACTGATGACTGCAGTCACTTCATCACTATGTATACTTAAATCATGATACATGGTATACTTTAAACATAGTCAAATGTTTAAAAAGCCTGTCTAAGTACCATCAAAACAATACATGCTAGAGAAATGTGAACTGTTGCTAAGAGGGTATCTTTTAGGAGCCTCTAAACTGACAAACATAAACTTACAAATAAGCTTTAAAAAAATACTTCTTAGACTGGGGAGGACAAAAAGAATGGCAGACATTTAAAAATTAATTGTTTAACACCAGTAAAAGAGAAGGGCAATGAAAAGGAGACAGAATAGGACGGGCTGGAGTATGGAGGAAAAGAATTGGCCAGCGTCACAGCCTAACATTCTGACACTGGCCCCTGTGTTGGCTCTCCTCCTCCTTCCTTCCCCTTTTGCACTGTTTTATGCCTTTCTCCACCCCAAGGACCTGAAGTGCCCTCTACCTTTAGGCTCTAAGAGTACCACCACAGAGAAGCTGCGAGACAACTGACAAAAACATAAAGAAAACCAACGATCACAAGGATCTGGGCCTGGTTATCATAGAACTGGATATCAGCAGTCCAGCTTCAGTGTTTCCAGCCACCCCACACTCCTGGCCCTGCTGACTGATGAGCTTATGACTGTGATCTAAACTTTGTGGTTTCTTTTGTTTTTCTTAAGAGAAAGGGTGTAGCCTCTCTCTGTTGCTTAGGCCATCTTCAAATTCCAAAGCTCAAGGATCTTCCTGCCTCAGTCTGCTGAAGTTGCTGACTTACAGAGACACAGTATTACACCCAGTTTTCCTTCTCTGACATTTTTCTTCTTCTGCAATCCTGGGGATGGTACCCACAGTCTTTGTACTGAGCTACCTCTCCAGCCTTTTTATTTTACCACAGCCTTCCAGAGTGCAGAGGTTACAGCACATGCCAGCCACCGTGCCCTGCATTGTTATCTGGTTTCTCAGTGCAAGTTCTTTCCCCTTCAGCACAGACCTACAATTCTGTGTACACATACTTACAGATGAGACAGGATGCGAAGGTCATAAAAAGGAATGAGTACACTTGTCTTTTGTTTGCTGCTTTGTTTGTTTTGAGGACAGGGTCTCTGTTTGTAATTCAGGCTGGCCTTGAACTCACGGTGATCCTCCTGCCTCAGCTTCTTAAGTGCTGAGATTATCAGCATGCACCAATATGCCCAGCATGCCTTTTTATTTAACTTCAGAATAGACATAAATGCCCTTTCTTAATTTCCGAATTGTTTCCTTTTCTATACATATTTTTTCTGCTTCAGTTTTTGGGCTAAAAACCCAAATAACCCAGGAGTGAGACAGGTGGTTAGTAGAAAAATAAACCATCCACAAGCAGCA